TATATATATGTATATATATACAGTAATTCTGTACAATGGGTGTAGATGAGATCCCTGTGTGAAACAATTTATGCAGATAAAAATTGATCTAGACAAAAATTTTGTACAGAGAGAGTCTACCTGCCTAATGATATAGACATACTGTACAGTATACTGTATGCCTAATTTATATATTTAAGCACATAATTTTGTTTTATCTATTAATATCAGGTGAATGTGACACTTGAAGCTTCAAGTTGGGCAAGGGCTCAATGGAAAGAAAACATTTCCCAGTTTGACCTGTCTGAACTTCACAAATCTGCTGAACACGAAAGACTATCCCGACTTTTCAAGGCTGTCGAAGTCCTTGGGTTTGCTGCTTTGGATGATGACAAACTGGCTCAAGTGAGTTGTGCTACATAAAATCAAACTTTATGATTTCTAGAACCAAAAGAATATTTTTTTGCAGAGGACAAATATCGAGTCAGACATGACTTCCATCTACAGTTCTGCCAAAATATGCCCCTTTGACAAGCAGAATTGTGACCTGAAGAAGGATACAACCTGGTCTCTTGAACCAGGTCAGTGAAAATTACCTCAAAACATGTATTCAAAGGCACTTATTTACTTTTCTGCTTCGTGATTATTTTTTCATCAGTGATTCACCCACGCATTTCACGGAATAAACAGCGAAATCTCGTCACAACAGATCTGTTGAAACTGGCAAAAAGCTGCGTTATAAATATAAATGCGTTGTAAATCGCTTTATTGCTATAGGGCAGGGACTCGAAAAATGACTTTATTGTACGAAATAATTCGTTATGAAGAGATTTTACTTCATGCATTACTGAAATACTTCATATGAAGACATTTGCGGGTCTGAAAGGAACGAAAATTACAGGAACACAGCAGCTGATTTTTTTTACAAATTCCGAATAACTTTATTAGAGAAATTCTTCTCTAACTAGTTTATTGACTCAAGTGAAGCAATAAATATCACTTCCTTTGGGAGACTCCCGTTATTGTCAACTTCGAAATAGCCTCGCTGGTTAATGAAGGCAAGAATATTCATGATTGACACTGTGCGATGGGAAATCATTGTGATTCACACATTTTCACTCTTTGTTGAACTGTTTATAAAAAAACAGTACATTATTTTTTACGGTTGACTATCATAACAAACTGCATCTCTTGATGGATGAATTACTAATTATTGCGAAACTTTTGATTCAACATGAATCATGCGATAAACAAGAGCTCGTTTCATATATACCATGCATGAGAATGTTTCATACAATTTTTCATCTCCCGCATTTGAATTCACAGAGTTGACGGAACTGTTCCGAGTTCAACCGGAAAAAGAAAACTTCGAAAAGTTGGAGTATGTTTGGGCAAAATGGAGAGATGCGTCCGGAAAGCTTATTAGACAGAAGTACTTGGATTACGTCCGTCTGAGTAATGAGGCTGCAATTGCCAACAGTAAGTTCAATTACAATTACCGAACTTTTTCCGTCTTTTAATTTCCACAAGACAATCATATAATCAATAAATAAAGGTTTCATATTTCTTTCGTTTTCTCA